ATTCATTAACTGCATGCAATGTCAATTGATCCGAGACACTCTGATGTATTTTGATATACCTACATAATATCCCTTGAAGCTCAATTCCAATCCGAAAGAATTTTTTCTTCCGCAATATTACTACTAGGACTTTGAGTTCCATTTTCCAACGTAGGTACTCTCTCTGATGCCTAGGTCTAAGTCTATGATTCTTGAGCTATACCAACATTTTTAGCTTCCTTGCTCGAGCTACATAGGTGGCTATTGCGATCACCGAAATTTCATCAAATGTCGCCGGAGTGCCGTCATGTCCAGAAGTTTGTTTATCTTGATGACAGTATCAAGTACCATGGATTCAGTGTCCTAAGAAAGGCGAATGCAAGCTTCGCGAGAAAGATTGTTTCTGAAGATTCAAGATTGAAAATTAGGTATAAAAAGTAATACATACCCGTTTCCTCAGAAGATTGTTAACGTTTTTATGCAATACTTTTCTTCACCTATAGGTGGACCATAAACTAAAGAAAAGTATTGCATAAAAACGTTAACAATCTTCTGAGGAGACGGGTATGTATTACTTTTTACTTCCATAAGAGACATGTTACACGATATTATAGAGGACCGATTCGTTTGATGGAATGTGAATCGATCGAAGAGTACGTACGGAAGATTATGGACACGGCGCACAAGATGAGCGCCATTGGGGGAGCGATTTCGGATTTTTGGTTGCGAGTAGGTAGTGTTACTGCACGGTTTGTAAGAACGTTATGATCCGAGCGTAATGGCGATCGAAGATTTGGGCATAAAAATCACCGCGCAAGCAATCAAAACAAAATTAATCAATTTATGATGTGCGTGGAACCGGCAGAAAGTGAATTTGAAGTTGCAGTGGCTCCTAAAACGAAGCAAATGAAGGCACAAAAAAGCAGACCCAAGGTAAGATGCTACAATTCCAATGAATTTGTGAATTTTTCTATGGACTGCAATTTGGAAATTGCAAATGAAATCTAAAGAGGAAACTTTGCTGTCTTGATCTGTTGCACACGAACCGTTAAGATGCGATGAATGATTTATTACTGGGCCGTCCGGCCACATGACGATGACACAGGGATATTTGCAAACTCTGTCACCGCCAAATAATGAAGGTTATTGTCGCGGAAAATTCAAGGCTGAAAATTGAAAAGCTTGGAAACGTTCGTTGAATAATCAACCAGAGACAATAACAATCCAAAACGTAAACTATGTGCCAAAATTGTGCGTTAATTTGTTGTGTCAGGTAGTAAATGCAAGCAATACAGTCATATTCAACAAACATGGCTACAGCATAATTAACGCTTCAAATGAATTCGTAGCAAAAGCAATACTAGTCAACAATATGTATCAGGCAGTTTGTTATAAAAGCATATATTATTCGGCAGAGTGCATTTTTGAGTCTCAAAAGAAGCGGATTCTTTCAACGCTCGGCTGTTCGGGCCCCTTTTAAGCTTTTTGTAAATCGATCAAAAAACAAATTATTTCAATGAAGCAAATTTTGCGTTGACCGAAGCACATATATGTACAGTGAATTTTTTTTAAATACGAACATAGGAGTTTGCATGCAATGTAATTTCCCTATGTTCGATTTTTAAAAAAACACATCAATCTATGAGGTGTGCGCGGTTCACATTCCCAAATCGTACAACTTGTGTGACTATGAACAGCAACTGATAGTCTTTATGATGAAGAGCACTAGGTAAGATTTTTTTAAATAAGCCGTGTGAGGCCATAGCAACTTTAGGATAAATTTTTCTTAAACTTACGATAACTTGACTTCACTTGGCACGCGCTGACATCGCAATTCATTGTGAACCAACCTTCAATTATTTGTAGGTCATGTGCACCTAGTATTCTACTAATTTGATTTATTCAATACATAAATGAAGAAAATAAGAAAATAAATACCGAAAACAATTACAATAAATGTTGGAAGTGTCCTCATTGGCATTCTAAGCAATAACCTAACCGATTTCGTAATTAAATTGGACGGCGGTATTTTCAAAAATGTGACAGCTGTCAATTGTATCTACTACTCATTTGAACTACTCAATAGATTGATGTGTTTTTTTAAAAATCGAACATAGGGAAATTACATTGCATGCCAACTCCTATGTTCGCATTAAAAAAAATTCACTGTATGTTTGGATAGGCCAACTATATCAGTGTAAGTGACAATATATTTAGGCTATGACGCAAATTTTTATTAACCCAGACACAAATCAAATTGATTTAACAATTAATTTGGTTTAAGTGAAAAACCTATTTTTTCTGCTAACCTCGCAATTTATTTGGTTTAAATGCATTGCGCCTAAAGTGAAAGTATCTATGTGTTTGAATTAAAAACCATATTCAAGATCAAAATTTAAAAATATTTAAGCCAAATATATCATGCCTGAATAAACTAAACTTAAACATTGTTCAAGCCATACTTTGAATTGAAGCAATTATTAAATATTTAGCCCAAAAGCTACATATTTTTTACTCGAAATGCGTAGTTGAGACTAAATAATATTTTGGTGACGCAAATATATCATTCTTTGATTTAAATATTGTGCTGTTAAGGGGAATTTCCGTAATATTATCCACAATATCAAAAATTAAATATATAATAAAAATGCAATATGAATATAATTCATTTATTCAGAACTTTTTAGAAACAAATCAGAACACAGTCATAACTTACGGGGCTTTTGGTATCTAGAGGGCGAAAATCGTAATTTTTAAGATTTTGATTTACATACCTACAACCTCTTATTTTGGCTCTCCATAGTTACCGGGCACCCTATGTACAAGAAATAGATATAAGTAGATATAAAAACTTAAAAATGTAAAATTCCAGGTATGATGAAGGACTAAGAACTTACAAAATATTCTCTCAGAAGTCCACCTACATAAAAATGGCAGGTATCTTAAAAATATAAAACAAAGCTAAAACACTCTGGGTGAAACGCACTATCTACGCACTTGCAAGAAATTTTCTCGGTGTCGCAACGCCAAACTTTGTACGTGTGAAGAACAACCGAGCCGCATTTTACGACATGTTTTTATTGGAGGGGGAAATATTTATGCACCCATGCCATTGAAATGAATTCATTTCATTCCAGAGATTTATTTAGTTAAATTCATGTACCTACTGGTTATTATATAAATATATGGTTGTTATATAAATGATTTCTTTTCTAAACTACATGTTTAAGCGAATTGTATGGATATTTATGTGAAACCCCTCAAAGCAAAATTGCTTGAGTCAAATATAATATTTTTGAATCAAAGTTAATCCAAGTTAAATATTTTGTGACGAAACATTAATTACCTACATCGATTTATTTGAGTCAAAATAATTATTATTGATTTAAATATAATTTGATTATTTTAAATTAGTCCTTACTTCTTTTAAAGAAATACGGGTCAAATACATGATGAATTTGTCGTTACAGTACGATTTTTGTCTGTGTACCTATAATTTTTTATTTTCGGGTTTTCAACATTATATTCGTACAATCGTGATATTTCTGCATCCCTTAGTTTGAAAGCTGAAAACCATTCCTGAAGTCATGTATGAGTTTCCTTTAAATTTCTCCTTTTATAGCTCGATGGTTACCTACTATTTATTTCTTGTTTTTAGGTGATTTTAATAATATGGATTACTGGAGCTTGTCGGAGGCAAGAACTCTTAGTATAAAGTGTAAAAGCAGTGTAGTGGACATTGCTTTAAAAGAACTGGGATGTGTTTTCAAATGTAACCAATATTAATTCTTATTTTAATTCTAAATAAAAATCTTTCATAAAAATACGTTAGTACTAGTGCGCAAAAGTACCTTATCTTAGCACTTCAAAATCATGACAAAATGTCGTGATATTGATTCAAAAATGTAAAAATATATATGAAATAATTCTTTTTTGTTTTTTTTCAAAAGCTTAGGTTATAGTTTCACTAATTGTCGATTGGTCGACCATTCGTTCGTTGAGACGCCTTTTATAAATAAATCGAGATCTCGGTACGGCAAGTCGTAGATCCGGCGTTTTAGCATTAGATAAATTGTAAATAGTACATAACATCAAAGACTGTGATGACTTTGATAACATCGTACAATCGAGTTATTCTTGCATCACAGCATGAAAGCTACTGATCTGCCACATCAAAAATACGTTGAAGTCTAATGATGGTACAGCAGAGAGACTTTTTTTTTCTATTTTACAAAAGTCTATACCTGCAACCTCTCGAAAAGTTCTAGTTTTGGCCTGCATAGGAATCCGGACAAATTATAAATGTTTAATCTGGTTGTATGTTTCTTTTAGCGGAAGACAGATTATATTCAAAACTTCCCCGATTGGCAACATTTTTAGTCCAATTAAAGAAAATAGCATTGGATTCATCATCAATTACACATCTGTAGGGAAGATTATAATTAAAATTCTCGCCACATTTAATAGGTACACACTTGAAAATTTATAATAATTGATCTTTTTGAGCGTTTGTAGTTGGTATTTCGGTTTTAATTACCCATTTATCTTTAATAAATCGACATCAATCACAATTGCAGTACAGATTTAAAGTTGTTTACAAATTGTCAAGAAGATACATAATAAATATGCAAAATACAAGCACACATGCCCCTAAAAAGAAATAGCGTAATTTTTCCGCCTACATCAGTGACGTAATCGGCAGTTAATGTTAAGACGTACTAACGGGTTAGGTGTAGGTATATTTCCGGGCGATCATTTCTTCCAATCCGGGGACGGCGGCGGCGAATACGTGCTTTTCAAACCCCTGCTGCATCCTTCCTTACGACTCATTTTATTTTTAAAATGGACCCATTACTTTTAACTGTGTAACATTTTTACACTGGAATTCCGCGTGTACGCATTGACGAACGTGTTTGACAGTTTTGCTACTGCTATCAGCGGTGGGAGGGATTTGAACTTCTCCTTAAAAGGACGCGACGTCCGTAAAAGGAAGCGATCCATTCTAAATAAGGTATTGGGCAGTCCTATACGCTTATGTTTACATCCCACTTTTGCGATTATTGCATGCGGTTTCGGGGGCAGTTTTTCGCCGTGCGCGAATAGACGCATTTTTTGTATTTGTAACTCAAGGATTTATTTGGTTGTATTTTAATTTTGGCAAATTTGAAGCGCGGTTAGGTCGGATTACTTTATTCGTGGTGCGTGCTGACCGACGTATAATAAAACAGGAATTTTAAAAGGACGACGACGGCGAGATAAAACAGATAATGTATGTCGTTGATTAGAGTTTGCGCAGATATTGACTCGGTGAACATGCCGTTAGTGGCGCGCTCCGCAGTCTAGCAGGAGTTGCTGTCCCGCATTATTCTGTGCTCAGCTGTGTTGTGTGTACACAAAGTAGTGACGCAGTGCGAGTGTCTTCGAAAATCTGCCAAACTGTGGTGCACGATGGAACCGCCAGGCGGGAGGGACTCCCGATTCAACCTGGGCTACAGCATGAACCTTTTAAGTGGAGAAACACCGCCCGAAATATATGGAAATCCTAACCTGGGGCGGCCTTCGAGTAGCCTGCAGCAGTTGTCACCGCGGCACACGATGGTTTCGAGTGCCTGTGGTACGCAGAGCATTAAAAGAGACGTATGTTACGACGAACGTGGCATGACAACGCAAGGGTTAGGATTAGATTCGTGTGGGGTGAACGAAGTGTCAGATGATACCTATAGCTCCATACAAACTAAAAAGTCACCACCTAGTAATGGCAAGAAAACCAAAGGTCGGGTTAAAATTAAAATGGAATATATAGAAAATAAATTGCGGCGATACACAACCTTCTCGAAGAGGAAGACTGGTATAATGAAAAAGGTGAGCTAACCTCTTTACGTGATTTGCAGGTTTACGAGATCAGCGCATGCACGTTGAATGCGTGCGCAACGCAGTCGCCGACTGTGCTTCAGACCTCTTATAAAAAATAACATAAGATATACATCTGCGAATTATATTTTAAATTGTTTATTGTTTTATGTGTATATTTAAGCAAGTTCGATGTTACCGATTTATCCCGCTTAAAACTTCACCATTACGTTACTGTTATTGCGCTAGCCTTTTCTGTTCGATGCGAAATGTTCCAATATGTAACACGTGACAGATAATTAGGGTCGGGATATCGTTATTCTGTTATTGTAATTTACAAATGCCTCACCGCGCCACTTAAAAACACAAAATTTCGACTTTCATGTTTTTAACAAATGCGCGGATGCGTCCCAATAATGCCGCTATTTTTAGTAAATTATGAGATTGTTGAATAATTTTTCATCCCTAAAGTGTTCATTAAGGTTTTTTAATGTTTTTCACTTCATTGAGGTCAGCTGTGAAAGATGAAGAATGTCCTAATGTCATATATATTTGCTCCAAACTTTTCGAGGACCAATAGCCATACGTAGGTATTCGTTCCTAAGTTTTTGCCAATTTCCGTATATTATTCGAGGACGACTGACGAGATTCGAGATGCCTTAAATCAAAGCCCAAAAAGCCTATGTATTTAATGGAGCATAAAATATCTCTATGTGCAATATTTAATTAAAAAACCGTCAAACAAATCACGTCGATGACCAACATTGTTTTATTGTGTGATAATGAGCATTAGTATTTTGAGGAAGAGTTGTCAGAATTTTTATTTATACACTAATTTCGTTGCGAAAACGTGAACTCGAACATTAAAATGCATCAGCCTCCTGTCACATTTTACTAAGCACGTGAATACCAAATATATTACTAACCGCTTTTTCAAGATCTGTAGGGTTATTTCAAAGACGTTTTCTAACAAGATTTCTAATTTTAGGAAGGCATAAGGATCCATGAAAAATGTGTAGGGAAATTTTAAAAAATATTAGATAGTACGAGTCCGACGTATGAGTATTACCTACCGCATTTGAAGTTTCTAAGATTTTTTCTAAATAAATCCCTAAGAATTTTTCAAAGAGGGAAATATGTTTTTCAATAAGATTTTTAGGAAAATCGCTAAGCGGAATATTAAAAAAAAAGTAAAACACTTGGGTTTTTTCTCGGGTTTTTTTTACCTAAGAGAATCCTTAAGAAATTTCTGCGGTAGGTACTTAAAAATTGTTTCGAGAAATTGCCTCTCAATTTTCTGCCAGGTACTTATGGCTCAGTTTATAGTTGAAGGAAGATTTTGGAAAGAATTTCTATTGGAAAATACTTAATTAATACTTAATTAAAAAAAGTTTTTTTTAAGTTTTTTGAATCTTTTGAACCAATCGCTTTACTGCTTTAGTTTTTGAAATGCCACTTTTTGAGAACAAAATATTCTAAAAAAAGAAGTTTATTTTATTTTGCCTTTATTTTTGAGTGGGCGGGGTTTCAGCCGAGGCTGATCAAAAAGGTCCAATAATTTTTTTCACAGACGCCGTACTTATATTTATTTGAAAACGGCAGGGTCACACTGATTTTTATCATTTTGGTTTTACCCAAAGACCACATAACATTCTATATTACTTGTTTGATAGCACCAACAAATTATCCTATAAAAGTGTCGAAAATGTGACACCCTGCACCTACTTATTAACGAGCGACTCAGCTCGTTGATTATTTTGGACTTTCTTCGGGACTTCCTATCCGTCTGTTCTTCTACATGATAACTCCCGAACGATTTCGAATTTTCGAATTCTGTTTTCAGTAATAGGTAGACAATGGTCAAGGGACTAACTGATTAAATTTTGATCATTTGGACTTTCTGTCCGTCCGTCTGTGTTTGTCGCTCGTTGTCTATATTACTGTGAAACAATTTATTGTACTTACAGTAGCGAATTTCACGAGCAATTGCGATGGTATTTTGCTTCCAAACAGAAACTTTCCACTTTTTTATATGCAAGATACAAGAAATTTAAAAGGCTACATTGTTCTAAAATTAAATAGACTTTAAAATCATTTACAGGGTCCTACTACAGAGGCCGTCTTTCCTAGCTCATACCTCATAAAAAATATTTAAAAAATCCTTTTGTGCATATGTCAAATGGTTGCGCATCTATAGAAATTATTTTTGAATCTATAGAGTGCCTCATTTTTACGGTGCAAATAAATAACTGATTTTTTAAAATAGAACACGCTGTATATTTTTAGTTGTTTCGATGTAATTTGTAAACTTCTACATTGAAACCTATTCACTTTTTGATTTTTTGTCAATGTTGCCATCCGATTAATTTTTTTCCGAATAATTCCATATAAGCAAGCCTCACTTTGATGAAAAGTAGGGGTACCTTATTGTCTCGCTTATTGTACTCGAGTAATAATGTTAATTATTTAATTTGATAATGAGAAACTTAGATTTAGTGGTACAGGGTGTTCACAATGAAATGGTAAAATTTCCAAATTTCAAACTATTTTTTTCCCAAATTGAATTATGTCTAAACCTCATAGTTTTTCGATTATTTAATATTTGTCACAAAAGTACTTACCTATCCATTAATTAATTGAGGAGGTTGCGTGCAGAACCGGATAAATCCAGTTTCATTAAATTGTGGGAAAAGGGCAAAAACCTCACACTGCAAGGTTAAATTGCTTGTTAGATATGACATATTGACATTACAAAAAACATTTGGATATAGCCGAGTTTGATTCAAAACCACATAACAACCAAACATTTTTTTTATTAAAACATTTAAAACTCAAAAATTAAGGCACCAAAATGAATATTAAAAATTTACTGATATTTTTAAACCAAAACCGAAGGTTCTTAATACATAGTTGGTCACATAAAGTATCTTCTACATCGGTATCGGCCGAGTTTGCTTCAAAAGCTACTTTTTAAACGGCAATGTACTGATGAAATAACCGCTTTTGCTTCGAAATAACTGCACCAATCGATAGTCTGCAATGTAAAGTTTAAAATAGGAGAAAACATTTTTTTTGCTAAATTTGGATATAGCCGGTTTTGCATGGCAAGCTTCTCAATTATATGTTTATGCGCCGTAATAGGTCGCGATAATAAAAAACAAAAGAATTCCCGAAAGTAAATATTAGCTGATGTACCTATACTCCCTATTTCTTAGTAAAATAAGGTCTAAACTCTGAAGAACCAACTGTAATGATTTTACAGCGTGTAGACACGGTTTACGCAGCATAGGGATTTCAATGGTAGGTAATTTGTTGACATATTTTCTCCCTTACTTGTAAGTAAATTTTTTGTAGATTGTAAAATTCCGCATCTATTCATGCGCACATTTGTATTTTTTTATTGTGGGAAATCGGAGAAATTAAGGGAATGATAAATTAGCATTAGGTATAGTAGAAAAAGTATATTTATGCGAAAATAAGTACTAAATTCTAAATTATTTTTTCCGGTTTCCCGAATTGAAATAGTTATTTACCTGAGTCCGGTAAGTTAATTTTCCCGCATGCGCACTTTGTTTTGCATTGCGAAATGCGAATACGGGAACATTCTTTCCGACGGAGTTAGGTACAATATTTTTTGTAACGAATTACGTAGAAAACGAGGTAAAAAAGGTCAACATTAATAAAACTGATCGCACTGAACTGCAAGTCTTGAGTACCAACAAATGTGCTTTGAAAAGAGTGCTTTTATTGGTCGCGTAATTACATTGATCGTATTTAATATCCCCAGAAGGCTTGTGTGTGAACAAATGTGTTCTGAAATTTGATTTATTTTAAGTTGCGTAAGTACACTTTTTACATTTAAAATCCTTCGAAGCTTTGTGTGTTAACTTGTCCTTTCTTAAACTGAAAATGCGATTCGTTGCAAAATAGCGCTGGTCACATTTTAAGACTTCAACAATTATTTTACTTTTTCTTAAGCTTCCACTCAATAATTTGTTTAGGTTATCAGTTCTTGTATATTTACCTCGATATTTACTTAAAACTTAGGCACTACCTCGGTCACTACGTCTTAATTGATTTTACAAGTGACAGTTGACCATGACATGACGTTCGTATTAATCCGACCTCAATCCCTCCAGCGGAAACTAAAGAACACCGCAGTGCGGGAATATCGTTTTTCCGTGCATTGACGATACTTAGGAACATTATCTTTCCATACAATGAGTGTAAAGAATAATAAATGAGGACATGAGGAGAAGCTGAATTTTTCAAGCTACAAGAACCTAATTACAACTTGATACTCTCGTTGATACTCGAGTTGATACTTGATAATTTGACTTGCTCTATATTAATTAGGGAAGATCGCGGGGAAGATAATATTTCGACTTATTCATTTACAGCTACTTTTTCGGGAAATTTTCCAAAACAAGCCTCTACAGAATACACCCATTCGCCATTAACCTTATCTCCGTTTCAAAAATAAGATCTATTAAACACGCTTTTTGTTCGTCGGTGAAATCCATTTTTTTGTCTTAAGTCACATAAACTTTTGGACTTATGGAACTATGCTGCAGGTTTTTAAACCTTTTCTTTCCTCTGCCCTTGTGTTGGGCATTGAATAACGAAATCAGATTTTCACTCAACGTTTTGGGGCAATTTTTTGAATAATATGGTAGTTTAATGGTTTCCATATAATATATTCGTATCTTTGAAATATCGAGTGGTGCCTCGAGTGGTGTCGAATTATTAAATGATGCATGTACAGTTACGTAGTCCAAGCCATAATTTGGCGATTAATCATAAATTGAAGGACTCTAAAGAACATGACGTGCATATAGTACACAATTTATGATCGGACTGTTTTATAATAATTTCACTAACAAGTGCTTTAATAAGGTTCATTAAGTAACAAATAACAATCGATATTATTAGTACTCTCCAGTTAAAACCTTACAACATAAGTTGCAGTAGTTTTCCGTCAATCAAGACATTACAATGCTGCCCGCGTTAAA